GATAGTGATGGTAATGGCCATGGTGGCGGTGCACTCCCCAGCAGTTGCTTTAGGTCTTTGCTTCACTGCTTTTGCTCACTGCTCTCTTCTGTTCTGCAGGACAGATGCTGGACACAGCAGTTCACAGTGCTACATTCTTGCGATTGCCCTGAAGCTTACAGGCTTTTCAGAAGAGGAAGAGCTTCACATAAGCTGACAGTGCTGCTGTCATCAGCTGACAGTGGAACATTATAACCATTGTAACCATATATAAACATAGCAAGGAGCAGCTTGGACCATAAACAAGCTCTCTAGATACCTACCAGTTACTCTCAAAGAAAATAGTTTTCTTTGGATGTGTGCGCAACCTGCTGCTCTTTCAATCTACAGAGCACAGAAATTACAACATTTGCAGCAAAACATCCACCTGAATGCATGCTGAGAAATAGAAGGCCTCTCATCCCAAGCACTGCCTGTTTCTTTTCTCCCATACAACACACACTGGTCACAAGAACTACCAAGTTTATGCCTTTAGCACCTTTCCACCCAAGTCAATGACTACAGTGTGGTGAAAAGAATGAGCGCTTCTGACTGGTCAAACCAAGAGTGTTATTTCCACCTACTGAAAGATGTCTCTATCCACCAGCAAAGTCCAACATAGATGAGCAGACACACTTGACTATCTTTAAGTTAATCGATACTTTATTTATAATTAAATTCAGGAAAAATGGAACTATATACAAGAATAACTATATACATGAAGGAAAAGGTCTTTACATGGCCTATCCCCCAAGATCCATCTGAGTCTGTCCTGAGAAATAGAAGTGCTCATATATAAATGGAATGATACTGTTCATGAGTGAGTTCTGTCCTGCAGATTGGACACGTGTTGGCAGTCTCAAGGGCAACAGGGAGGCACTGACTGCAGAAGACATGACCACACTGGGTTGACAAAAACAGTCGTTCACTTTGCAGAATCTGAAGGAAAGAAAACCACAACATGTATTTGGGAGGAAAGAATTCCAACTTGCTGCTCTGTTGGCAGCAGAGAAAGGAGACTTGGAATATCTGGAATCAGTCCATTACTGCTAGAATGATGAGGGACCCAGAGAGCTGCCAGTGCCATCTTGGCAGGGGTTTCTCTCTCTGTGTACAGCACCAAGAAGTGACTTGTGGAGCTTTGCAGCAAGGCTTGTGCTTCAAGGCAGCTGCCCATAGCAGCTCACATAAGACAACTGAGTTGCACAGCTCCCCCTCTGCCCCCTCCTCTCTCCAACAAAGCAGAAAGGATGACAACACGTGAATCCTTACCTCTGAGTAAAAATCCATGCAAATCGGACACCTAATGGTACCCTCTGGCCGCGCCCTAGAGAGAACAGAACCACGAAGAACATGCAGCCATTAATATCACTGCGCATCGAGGGTTACCGATATATAAAATGTCATATAATCATCTGACTGCACTGACTGGCCATTGTCCATTTGATTTGAAGAACCCTGCAAATCTTTAGCTCTCTGTTTGCTGCATGTAATGAGGAGTTTGGATCTCCCTGATCTAAAGGAAACAGCATCTTGGTTTTCATGAGGAGAAAGGTGCAGTCAGTCACCCTGCTCTAGGATTTGAAGTAACAGCAACCTCTAGCGCTGGGCAGTCAGTGTATGGCAGCATTAATCTCCAACAGGTCATCAATAACAGCTTTGTAACTAAAGCATAGAGCTGTCCTCTGGGAACTATTAATTGCAGAAGGAAACAGGGCCTGATGCTACAGAGTAACACTGCAGACGGCCTTGACAAGTCCGGCCCCAGGAAGGACCCTTTGGTCAATGTTAAATGCGGCAGCACCAAGCTCTTTCAGCCTGGGCTAAACAAAGCAGGAAAGTGCACTCAGTAGCAGAGACGCTTGAGACTCAAGGAACAAAATATTCCTCTTTTTATATTAACCAAGTGGTGGGATTTGTTCAGTGACATACTTAAGCAACCAACACTTAAAGATCTACAAATCCAATGGCAAAATGCACTATGGTTTAGAAGAGTAGAAGCCCTTTAGGTGGTGTATTTAAGGCCTGACACCCAAAAGTACCATACTCAAGTTCTCTCCTACATTGCCTTTTATCAATCCAAAAGGTTCAAATATTAAAACCTGCATGGAATTTGCCCAGCTGCTGCTTCCGATCCCATGATGCCAAGCCTCATCAACACCAATTTCCATATCTGACATCACTACTAGAGCTTGGCAGGAAAAACAAACACAATACTTTTTGAGCTATGGCCTGTCATTAATCCCCCTTTCTTGCCATACCCCTATACTTGTCTTTAAGATTCTATGCAAAGTTGTGCATCTGCCTTGGGCTACCTTTTTCTCCTGAAGTGCAAATGGTATCATTTGATCATCATGCAACACAGGAGAAAGAGGGAAATAAGTAGAGTAAGTGAAGGCTTCAAAGATAAGCCAGGCCATAGCAGTATAACTTCATCCTGCCCCTATTAAAAAAAAAAAAAAAAAAAAAGAAAAGAAAAAGGCAAAAAATTCAGTCACATACACATCATTATCTATCGCTTCATCTTCATCATTGCTACCCAGTA